TGGTGCCATAACAGTAGGACCTTGTTGTTTATCTATTTTATACACAGTAGTTTGTATCTGGTAATCCTAAACTCCTGATTTATCTCCCTCTTCCCCCTTTGGTAACCAAAAGTTTGTTTTCTATGTCTGTAAGTCTGTTTCTGATTTGTAAATTAGTTCATTTGTATATGTTTTTTTAGATTCTGCACATAAGCAGTATCATATGATATTTGTTTGACTTACTTCACTTATGATGATGATCTCTAGATCCATCTATATTGCTGCAAGTGGCATTATTTCATTCTTTTTAATGGCTGAGTAATATTCCATTGTATATATATCACATCTGCTTTATCCATCCCTCTGTTGATGGACATTTAGGTTGCTTCCATGTCTTGGCTATTGTAAATAGTGCTGCTATGAGTATTAGGGTGCATGTATCTTTTTGAATTGGAATTTTCTCCAGATATATGCACAGGTGTGGAATTACTGGATCATACAGTAACTCTATTTTTAGTTTTTTAAGGAATACCTATATTATTCTCCATAGTGACTGCACCAATCCACATCCCCAGCAATAGTGTACGAGGATTTGATTTTTAAAACTTGTATTTTTGAAATCTCACAAGATATATTCAATTAACCATTACTAAGAATTACCCACATATTGACCATTTTCTTTGCTATTTATTCCTTCTTGCATTTGGGAAATTTTCCTCTTATTTGCAGGTTTGCTGTTTGCAAGCTCTCTAACTTTTTCTGGAAGTTTTTCTTACAGTATTAAAGGATATTTTTGTTGGCATTGAATTCTAGATAGCAGTAATTTTCTTTCAGCTCACTCAAGATGTCATTCCACTGCTTTCTAACTTCAGTTACTTCTACTACCTGTTGGTGCGATTGTCACTCTTTTGAAAGTAATTTGTCCTTTTTTGGCAGTGTTTTGGATTTTCTGATTTTAGTGTTCTGCAATTTGTTTTGATGTATATAGGTGCTTGAATCCATGGGTTTGTAACTTGTATCAATTCTGGGGGAAAAAATTGAATCAATTTGTCTTGAAATAATTGCTTTTTTTTTTTCCCTTTCAGATGTGATCAAGTATGTTAGAATTTCTCAATCTTACTCTCTAAATGTCTTGCCCTATCTTCTGTGTCTTCTAACTTAAAAAAAACTAAGTTGTATTTCATAGATTTCTTCTCATCTTTTTTCTACTGACTAGTTATCTCTTCAGTTATTAGTGTTAAAGTCACCCTTCACCACACTAATTTCAACTTTTGTATTTTTAGCTCTTGAAGTTTTATTTGATTATTTTTTGTATCTGTTTTGTTAGTTTTAATAGATAAAACTGTTTCCTGCAGATATTTTAAGATTTTCTCTTGTAACTTTAAAAATGGTAGGCATAATTATTTTTTGGGCTATGTCTGATCATTTCAACATCTGAAATCTTAATGGATTTTAAAAATTTTGTTGACTGTCACTCCTGATGTTTTATTTCTAATATGTCTGGTTATTTTATTTTAATGAATATGGATTTACCATATCTTCACTGAAAGGATAAATGAATACCCTTTTCCTTTCTTGAAAAAATAATATTCTGAGGAGAAAAGTGTGAAAGGATACACATCAACTTCTCAGCATTCATTATACCTGTTGAGGGTGAGGGAGAGAAGTGTAGTAGTTAACTTTGATTTCATTTGTGGCAATATATATATTACTATTCTGATTTGACTCATAAAACACAGCTGCTCTGAGGCTCACCTTCTCTCTTTTTATAGTGCTGTTATCTTCTGACCACCTGGTCATGTCTTTCCCTTTTAAAAATTTTAAGACTGTGATTATCTTTCTCTTCATCCAAAGTATAAACAATTATCCTGAATGATATTAACACCATGTGCCTAGTTGATCAAGTTGCTTCAGTGTCTTGACCTTTTCATTTCACATGACCTTTACAGTTTATCCACACACTCAGAGCCACCCACTGGGCACTATGACCACCTGTTGATTAATTTGCTAGAGCTTTCATAACAAAATAGCCACAGTCTGTGTGGCTTAAAGAGCAGAAATTGATTTTCTCACAGTTGTTTAGGCTGGAAGTTTAAGATGAAGGTGCTAACAGTTTAGATTTCTTCTGAGGCCTCTCTCCTTCGCTTGCAGATGGCCACCCTCTCATTGTGTCCTCACATGGTTGTCCTCCTGTACCCTAATCTCCCCTTCTTATAAGGACACTGGTCCTACTAGATTAGGGCCCTCTCTATAGACCCTGTCTCCAAATACAGTCACATACTGTATATGAATTTGTGGGGACACGATTTCAACCACAAAATCTTATAAAAACTCAGCTTTAAAAGTCAACAGTTCAGATAAGATGGTTGGATGGCATCACTGGCACAATGGACATGAGTTTTAGCAAGCTCTGGAAGATGGTGAAGAACAGGGAAACCTGGCATTCTGCAGTCCACGGCATTGCAAAGAGTCAGACACAACTGAGTGACTGAACAATGAACAATTCAGATAGCTCACATTCTGACCTCAGCCTCTCTCTTGTCCAACCTGTTCACTTGGCTACTTCTGCTCCACTTGTTCTCTGAAGGCACCTCTTGTTCCTTCACCATATGTTTTCTCTCACCTATTAGTCCATTCTTGTCTTAAAGTGAAGTCAGTCGTGTCCGACTCTTTGCAACCCCATGGACTGTAGCTCACCAGGTTCCTCCATCCATGGGATTTTCCAGACAAGAGTACTGGAGTGGGTTGCCATTTCCTTCTCCAGAGGATCTTCCCTACCCAGGGATCAAACTTGGGTCTCCCGCATTATAGGCAGATGCTTTACTGTCTGAGCCACCAGGGAAGTCTTAAGACTCTTATCTTAAGTTCCTCCTATATCTGGCTTAAATGTCATGATTCTTTCTATCAATAAGGTTCAGTAACACTCTTCCAATGCCTTGAGCTCCTTTCTCTTTTTTTCATACATTTCTGGCAAAAACCCATCCCTGACTGTACCCAGTTGATCTATATTTGCCTACAGTGATTACCAAGGGCAGTTAGAGATAGTCATGCAACAGGAAAGATTAGCTTCTTCATGATTTAGTGACTCAAATGGCCTCAACACAATTCATAGTAGGGCTTAGCGATTCTATGATGTTGTTCTTATCAACTCTCTTTCACCCACAATGATCATTTTAAAACTCCTCCTCTCCTCAAAGCTTCAAGTCTCCCACTTGCTCACTCACTCTCATTCTCAGCATCACTTATTTCACAGAACAAGTAGGAGACCTATGCCAGGAACTCCCTCACCTTCCCACTACCAAATGTAAAATCCTATTACTTCTGCAGGTACCTGTTCCTCTTCCCTTTTTATTTTTCTTACAGTAGAGGTGCTATGTGCCTTCCTGCTTGAGGCCAATTCCCCCTTGTGACCTTGGGAGTCTACTGTCACTGATTTCATCATTTCACACTGTTTTCTCTTTTCTGTCATATAAATTTAACCCCACCTGTTTAATGAATTATTTCCATTAATATTGAAATATATTCAAGCCCTCTTACTTATTCAGAAAAAATTCCTTGTCTTCATGTTCTCTTCCAGTAACTGCCCCATCCTTCTCCTTCCATTTTTCTCCTGGGGGTTGGTTATTCCCATGAACTGCATTTCCTTACATCCTACTTCTTCCTTCACATGCTCTTACAAGTTTGTTGTCTCATAATCCTACCTGGTTAACACTTGCAGAGATACCAGTCGTATCCATTTAACAATTTTAGTTCTTATCTTTTTTGCCCTCTTAACCTCAGTTGACCTTGTTGACCCTCATTTCCTCTTTGAAATACCATTTCCCTTCCACTTTTTGGGACATTATTCTCTCCTGGTTTCTTCTCCAATGTCTTGTCACTCCTTCTCAGCCTTCTTCATTCAGGCATTGAGTGTTGCTTCTCCTAGGCCCTGTCCCAATCTCTCCTCTCACTTCTGTTCTCTTGACCTTAGTGATACCACCAAGGCCACAACTTTCTTAAAAGCCCATATATGCCACAGGATATTTGCACATGGTGTATTCTTTACATAGCATATTCCCTCAAGCCCTCCCCCAAGTCATTATGGAAATAATCTTCTACTCATCCTTCACATCGACACTTAGGTACCACCTTCTCGGGAAACCTTTTACAACCTCCTTGTGGTACCTCTGCAACACTGGTTGCAGTTATAATTTACGTTTATTTATATGATTTGTTAAATGACAAGCTTTCCCATTGGAGGTAAGCTCCATAATGGCAGAGACAATTCCTATTTTTCTTATTATAATTTTACCTCTAGTACTTTACAAAATTCTGAGTACATAGTAGGTACATAATAGAGAAGTATAGAATAAAATATCTGAATGAATAAACATTTTGAATAATGCATCTATGGAGTATCAAGATGGGAATTTCCCACATGTGGTTAAATACATGATTTTGAAACTCAGGAGAGAGGTCTGGACTAGAGTGATGAATTTGGAGTCTAATTGCTTGTGAGTGGTAATGAAGCCATGATGGCTACAAGATTTCTCAGGGGACGTTTATAGAGAGAAAGAATAAAAGGGGAGAGAACAAGAATCTTGGGCATTCACATTAAATGAATTCAAGCAGAGGATGATTCATCAAAGGAGGCAGAGGTTGTATATATGCTGTCTACATACTGCAGATTTTCCTTGGAAGTACTAATTTTAATATTCTGCCCTTTCAACTGACATATTTCACAACTTAATTTTTGGCTCAGAAAAGAGGGCATCTATAAAGGAAACAAATATAAATCTAATTTTAACACTTGATTTATTAATTAATAATGATATAACTGTATTTATGTGTATAGTGATTGATAAGATTGACTTAGTTCCTCACTGTGGTTATTGCTGGTAATAAGTATCTTTTTAAAATGGCTAGTATACATAGCAATTATAGGTTTTATAATTTTAAAATTATAGTTTAAAATACTTTCAAACTATGCTTCTGAAAGCTTGCCTAAATGTAAATGATATGTTTAATCATTTTTTTTTTAGCCTGAAAGTACTTTACTGATTATTTGTGAGAATGGCTATGTTCTTGAAGCTCCATTTCCAGCTATAAAGGAGGAAGAGGAGGACCATGACGTAGTTTCCTATGAAATCAAAGACATGTGTTTAAAATATTTCCATTTCACAAGTGTCAAGTCTAAAATTCTGGTATGAAATATCCTTGAAGTATTGTCTTCTAATTATTTTCTTTCTTATGATATAAAACAGCCCATGTTAAGTGCTAGGAAAATATGAAGAAGAAGATACAAACTTTTACTTTAAGGAGCTTATCTGGTAGAAAGCAGCTAACTGTATTAGAAAGAGGTAATGAATAGATACTAAAATCACAGTGCAAAGAAAAGAACTTTAGAGGCATGCAGAGGAAAGAATATATGGTTGTGATGGAGGGATGAGAGGAGGTCAAGGATGACTTCATTGAGCAGACATTTAGTATTTAAAGAAAGGGAAGGATTTTGAGAGGTTAAAAATGGGAAAGCAATAAAAACTTAGAGAACATCCTGAGGGAAGGCAGAATTGCAAGAGATGTTTGTTGTTTCAAGATGTCTTGTTGTTTCAAGAGATGAAGACTGGGCCGTGAAACAGAGGGACGCAGTTTGTAGAGGAGTTTGATAGGAGTCTGTGACCACCACAAAGGACCCCTTAAATTCTCGCCAAGATGATTTATTCCTTAGGCCACTGGAATAAATTGTGACAGGTTTTTTATTGTATTTTTTAATTTAATTTTTAATTGGAGGATAATTACAATATTGTGATGGTTTCTCCTATATGTCAGCTATAGGTATACATATGTCCCCTCCCTCTTGTACCTCCCTCCCACCTCTCTCCTCATCCCACCTCTCTAGGTTGTCACAGAGCATGGGCACTGGCTGTCTATTTTACATAGATATAAAGGATAGACCAAGGGACACCAAGGGAACATTTCATGCAAAGATTGGCCCGATAAAGGACAGAAATGGTATGGAACTGACAGAAGCAGAAGATATTAAGAAGAGGTGGCAAGAATACACAGAAGAACTGTACAAAAAAGATCTTCATGACCCAGTTAATCACAATGGTGTGATAATTCACCTAGAGGCAAACATCCTAGATGTGAAGACAAGTGGACCTTAGGAAGCATCACTACAAACAAAGCTGGTGGAGGTGATGGAATTCCAGTTGAGCTATTTCAAATCCTAAAAGATGATGCTGTCAAAGTGCTGCACTCAATATGTCAGCAAATTTGGAAAACTCAGCAGTGGCCACAGGACTGGAAAAGGTCAGTTTTCATTCCAATCCCAAAGAAAGGCAATGTCAAAGAATATTCAAACGACCGCACAATTGCACTCATCTCACATGCTAGTAAAGTAATGCTCAAAATTCTAAAAGCCAGGCTTTAACAATTCATGAACCATGAATTTCCAGATGTTCAAACTGATTTTAGAAAAGGCAGAGGAACCAGATCAAATTGCCATCTGCTGGATCATCAAAAAAGCAAGAGAGTTCCAGAAAAACATCTATTTCTGCTTTATTGACTATGCGAAAGCCTTTGACTGTGGATCACAATAAATTGTGGAAAATTCTGAAAGAGATGGGAATACCAGACCACCTGACCTGCCTCTTGAGAAAACATGTCTGTGGGTCAGGAAGCAACAGTTAGAACTGGACATGGAACAACAGACTGGTTCCAAATAGGAAAAGGAGTATGTCAAGGCTGTATACTGTCACCCTGCTTATTTAACTTATATGCAGAGTATATCATGAGAAATGCTGGGCTGGAAGAAGCACAAGCTGGAATCAAGATTGCCGTGAGAAATATCAATAACCTCAGATATGCAGAAGATACCACCCTTATGACAGAAAATGAAGAGGAACTAAAGAGCCTCTTGATGAAAGTGAAAGAGGAGAGTGAAAAAGTTGGCTTAAAGCTCAACATTCAGAAAACTAAGATCATGGCATCTGGTCCCATCACTTCATGGCAAATAGATGGAGAAACAGTGGCTGACTTTGTTTTTCTGGGCTCCAAAATCACTGCAGATGGTGATTGCAGCCATGAAATTAACAGATGCTTACTCCTTGGAAGGAAAGTTGTGACCAACCTAGATAGCATATTAAAAAGCAGAGACATTACTTTGTCAACAAAGGTCCATCTAATCAAGGCTATGGTTTTTCCAGTGGTCATGTATGGATATGAGAGTTGGACTATAAAGAAAGCTGAGTACCGAAGAATTGATGCTTTTGAACTGTGGTATTGGAGAAGACTCTTGAGAGTCCCTTGGACTTCAAGGATATCCAAGAACCAGTCCATCCTAAAGGAAATCAGTCCTGGGTGTTCACTGGAAGGACTGATGCTGAAGCTGAAACTCCAGTACTTTGGCCACCTGATGTCAAGAGCTGACTCATTTGAAGAGACCCTGATGCTGGGAAAAATTGAGGGCAGGAGAAGAAGGGGACAACAGAGGATGAGATGGTTGGATGGCATCACCGACTCAATGGGCATGAGTTTACGCAGGCTCCAGGAGTTGGTGTTGGATAGGGAGGCCTGGCGTGCTACAGCTCATGGGGTTGCAAAGACAGACACAACTGAGTGACTGAACTGAACTGAATTGAAAGGACAGACTTTTGGACACAGTGGGGAAAGGAGAGGGTGGGATGATTCAAGAGAGTAGCATTGAAACATATATATTGTCAGTTTTTGAGGAGGGGATTGATATGATGGGTCATATAAATTTGGAAGTTAATTCTCCAGGGTAAACAATAAAAAGGTGAAAGATAGGTCAGGATGCTAGTGTTAGGGGGCTTTTGCAATAGCTAGTTGATAGAGGCTAAGGATATAAATCACTTTACCACCAAAGATAAATCACCTTCTTTCATGGACTATTTCAATCCACAGAATTCATGGATTGACAATGATAGGCTCTGAGAAAAATTTTACTTAGCTTCTCTCAGGAAAAAAAGGCAAAATAATTTCTATAAAACCGGGATCAAATTCATGTTGATGTATGACAGAAATCAAACCAATATTGTAAACCAATTATCAATCAATCAAAAATAAATACTAAAAAGAAAACAAAAAAACAAGATCAGTGGGAGTTATGCAGAAAGTCATTCCAATGATTTGAAAATTTTAATGATTAAGATATATTCCCAAACTGATAATAATTAAAAATAAATTTTATCTTTAAATTATGAAAGTATGTAACACATTGCAGGAGACTTGGAAAATACAAAACAAAGTTACATATAGTTCCACCATATATTACAATTATTTTTTTAAAAGTTTTAGTTGGAGTGTCAATATCAAACTCTCAAAAATTAATAGAATGAATATGTAGAGAAGTAGAAGGATACAGTAGACCTGGAAAGCACTGTGAACCGATTCAACATAATTAAGATTTATACAATTTTCACACAGTAGTAGGATACAATTCTGTTCAAGTTCCCATAGACTATAAACTAGCAGGCTCTGGAACATATCCAGGGACACAAAACAAGGTACAAAAATTTCATGGTCTAAAGGTATTGAAATCATACAAAGTCTGTTATCTTACCAAATTGATAATAATTTTTAAATGACATTTGTTGTATTAGAGCTATGAATTTTCCTAGGGCGCTTTCTTCTATTTTCTTTTATTATAGTGTGAATGAATGAATTACAGTTTTTTTCTTAAATCCCATCATATCTTTTGCTAAAGAGATTAATAGAAATTGAAAGGAGAAAGAAACAAAAGGAGCTGAAGGAGAAGGAAAAGCAAGAAAGAAGGAAAAGGCTAGAAACAGAGATGGGCGAAGATGTGGAAAAGGAACTCCAGGGAGAAGAGGAGGAGGAGGAGGAAGAGGAAGAGGAGCCCTTACCTGAAATCTTTGTTCCTTCAAAGGCCTGTCACATCCTCTGTGGGTTTTACTCTGAGCCAGGAAAGTTCTGGATTTCTTTGGTGAGTAATAATGTAATAAATTTTTATCTCAGTCCTAATCCAATATATGTGTTATTTTCTATCACATTCTTAATTGCTAAGACTCTGTGCTAAGACTTCAGTTATTATCTACTATTGAAGGCTTGGATTTTGACAAATGAATGTGTTAGTTTTTATATCATCTTAAAATCTTTTATATGTCTGTCTACTATATCTTTTACCTATGACAATCACACATGTTTCAGAAGGTCAAAGGGAAGAAGAATCAAAGATAGAAGGGCAAAGGGCTAAGAGGTTTTCCAAGTGAGTCTGTCATTTTAAAATTTTGAGAATGATAGCAGCACAATCCACTGGACTTGCTTACCTTTCATTACCTACAACTATGCTATGTAGCCACATGGAAATCTGGGTAATGGCTGTTTTTATTAATAGATGATCACAGTGCCACCGTCAAAGAAATAGGTACTTGGCTAATAAGGAAACACAGAAAAACAGGAGACAGGTACCTGGGAATGTTACCATAGTGTGACAATTACATCTCCTAAATACATATTTTCTACTCTAATAAAATATTTTATTGATCTATTGCAAAGCAAGATTTCCTTCACTATATAATAAATTTGTCAAAAATTCACATAGAAATATATGTGAAAGGGGGTGGTCCTAAGATGGCGGAGGAATAGATGGGGAGATCACTTTCTCCCCCACAAATTCATCAAAAGAACTTTTGAACACTGAGCAAGTTCCACAAAACTGCTTCTGAATGCTGGCAGAGGACATCAGGCACCCAGAAGGGCAGCCCATTGTCTTCAAAAGGAGGTAGGACAAAATATAAAAGATAAAAAGAGACAAAAGAGGTAGGGATGGAGATCCATCCCAGGAAGGGAGTCTTAAAAAAGAGAGAAGTTTCCAAACACCAGGAAACGCTCCCACCGGTGGGTCTGTGGCAAGCCTTGGAATCTCAGAGGGCAACATAACCAGTAGTAAGAATAAATAAATAATTAAACTCCACAGATTACGTGCCTAATGGCAATTCCCAGTGGAGAAGCAGCACAGATGCTCACATCCACCACTAGCAAGCAGGGGCTGGACAGGGAGGCACGGGCTGCATTGCTTAGGGTAAAGACTGGGCCTGAATGGCCCAAGGGCAATCTGAGGGAACTAACTTGAGGTAGCAACCCAGACTGTGGGATGGCTATCCCGTGAAAAGCCCTAACCTAAGACACTGCCAGGCCTGCTCACAGAACAAAGGACTGAGTAGAGTTAGCCAGCTGTGGACCAGCCCATCCCCTGCTGGAGACAGGAAGGCGAGAGCAGTCAGAGCTAGTAGGGGGCAATCGAGGCCCCAGAGAGGCATCCTCTACCAAACTGCAAGCAGACTTTGTTGCTAACCAAGACTTTTTGGAATTTGGGCAGTTGACGTCTGCCGTGAGCGTTGCAGCCAGAGATCAGCTCCCCAGAGGAGACACATGGCACACCTGAGAAGGCACACCCATTGTACACCCAGAAAACCGAGCTGCTGGGATGGGGAGGCGATAAGATGGACTGCCCACCTGAGGGTGACTGTGCTTGCCAAGCACCTGGTCACCTGAGCTGCTTGGATCTGGGAAGGGCACAAAACACAGGTCCAACCAAGTTTGTGCCTTTGTTGAGTACCTGAGAACCTGAACCTGAGTGGCTTAGACCTGGGAAATGCACGCAATCCAGGGCCTGCCTCAGACAATTCCCGGCAGAGCAACCTAGAGCCTGAGAAGTGTAGACCATGAAAGCACACACGCAGTGAGCAGGGGCAAACCCAGTGCAGCTGAAACACTGCGAGCACTCCCCACACATGCCAGTGATATTTGTTTGCAGTGCTCCTCCCTCCCCACAGCAGACTGAACAAGTGAGCCTAAAAAAGTGACTACCACCGCCCCCTTGTGTCAGGGTGGAAATTAGACACTGAAGAGACCAGCAAACAGAAGAAGCTAAAATAAACAGAACTGCTTTGGAAGTGACAGGTGCAATAGAGTAAAACCCTGTAGTTAGCTCCGACTATATAGGAAGGGCCTATAGATCTTGAGAAGTATAAGCTGTATCAAGGAACTATCTGAAAATGAACTGATCCCACACTGTCCACAACAGCTCCAGAGAAAGTCCTAGATATATTTTTATTATCACTTTTTAAATTAAATTTTTTAAAAATTTTTAAGTCCTCTATTACTTCTTTAATTTTCATTTTTATAAGCTATTGCTGCTGCTGCTGTTAAGTCGCTTCAGTCGTGTCAGACTCTTGTGCGACCCCAGAGACGGCAGCCCACCAGGCTCTGCCGTCTCTGGGATTCTCCAGGCAAGAACACTGGAGTGGGTTGCCATTTCCTTCTCCAATGCATGAAAGTGAAAAATGAAAGTGAAGTCGCTCAATTGTGTCCAAATGTTCACGACCCCATGGATTGCAGCCTACCAGGCTCCTCCATCCATGGGATTTTCCAGGCAAGAGTACTGGAGTGGGGTGCCATTGCCTTCTCCTTATAACCTACTATTACCTTGCAAAAAAAAAAAGACCCCATTTCTAAAGAAAACTTTATATATATATATATATATATATATATATATATATATATATATATAATTTTTGTGACTGTTTTGTTTTTTAAATATTGTATTTTTGAGAATCTAACCTCTACTCTAGATTTTTAGTCTTTGCTTTTTGGTATTTATTACCAATTTAGTACCTTTAAGAACCCAATCTTCAGAACCTATTTTTACTTGGGAGCGAGATTACTGGCTTGATTTCTCTCTCCCTCTTTTGACTCTCCCTTTTCTCCACAAGGTCGCCTCTATCTCCTCCCTCCCCTTTCTCTTCTTTACCCAACTCTGTGAATCTCTTTGTGTGTTCCGGACTGTGGAGAACACTTAGGGAACTGATTACTGGCTGGATCTGTCTCTCTCCTTTTGATTCCCCCTCTTCTCCTCCTGGTCACCTCTATCTCCCTCCCTCTTCTCTTCTCTATGTAACTATGTACCTCTCTGGGTGTCCCTCACTGTGGAGAAACTTTTCATCATTAACCTAGATGTTTTATCATCAGTGCTGTATAGATGGAGAAGTCTTGAGGCTACTGTAAGAATAAGACTGAAAACCAGAGGCAGGAGGCCTAAGTCCAAAACCTGAGAACACCAGAGAACTCCTGACTCCAGGGAACATTAATCAATAAGAGCTCATCAAAAGCCTCCATACCTACACTGAAACCAAACACCACCCAAGGGCCAACAAGTTCCAGAGCAGAATATACCATGCAAATTCTCCAACAACACAGGAACATAGCCCTGAGCTTCAAAATACAGGCTGCCCAAAGTCACACCAAACCCACTGATATCTCAAAACTCACTACTGGACACTTCATTGCACTCCAGAAAGAAGAAATCCAATTCCACCCCACCGACACAAGCTTCCCTAACCAGGAAGCCTTGACAAGCCACCTGTCCAACCCCATCCACAGTGAGGACGCTCCACAATAAAGAGGAACCACAAACTGCCAGAATACAGAAAGGCCACCCCAAACACAGCGTTATAAAAACATGAAAAGGCAGATAAATACCCAGCAGGTAAAGGAACAGGATAAATGCCCACCAAACCAAACCAAAGAGGAAGAGATAGGGAATCTACCTGATAAAGAATTCAGAATAATGATAGTGAAAATGATCCAAAGTCTTGAAAACAAAATGGAGTTACAGATAAATAGCCTGGAGACAAGGATTGAGAAGATGCAAGAAATGTTTAACAAGGACCTGGAAGAAATAAAGACTCAATATATAATGAATAATGCAATAAATGAGATAAAAAGCACTCGGGAGGGAACCAACAGTAGAATAATGGAGGCAGAAGATAGGATAAGTGAGGTAGAAGAGAGAATGGTAGAAATAAATGAAGCAGAGAGGAAAAAAAGAATTAAAAGAAATGAGGACAACCTCAGAGACCTCTGGGACAATGTTAAACATCCCAACATTCGAACCATAGAGTCCCAGAAGAGGAAGACAAAAAGAAAGACCATGAGAAAATACTTGATGAGATAATAGTTGAAAACTTCCCTAAAGTGGGGAAGGAAAAGTCACACAAGTCCAAGAAACCCAGAGAGTCCCAAACAGTATAAACCCAAGGCAAAACACCCCAAGACACATATTACAAATTAACAAAGATCAAACACAAAGAACAAATATTAAAAGCAGCAAGGGAAAAACAACAAATAACACACAAGGGGATTCCCATAAGGATAACAGCTGATCTTTCAATAGAAACTCTTCAGGCCAGAAGGGAATGGCAGGACATACTTAAAGTGATGAAAGAGAAAAACCTACAGCCCAGATTACTGTACCCAGCAAGGATCTCATTCAAATATGAAGGAGAACTCAAAAGCTTTACAGACAAGCAAAAGCTGAGAGAATTCAGCAGCACCAAACCAGCTCTCCAACAAATGATTAAGGATCTTCTCTAGACAGGAAACACAGAAAGGGTGTATAAACTCCAACCCAAAACAACAAAGTAAATGGCAACGGGATCATACTTATCAATAATTACCTTAAGTGTAAATGGGTTGAATGCCCCAACCAAAAGACAAAGACTGGATGAATGGATACAAAAACAAGACCCCTATATATGTTGTCTACAAGAGACCCACCTCAAAACAAGGGACACATACAGAATGAAAGTGAAGGGCTGAAAAAAGATATTCCTTGCAAATAGAGACCAAAAGAAAGCAGGAGTAGCAATACTCATATCAGATAAAATATACTTTAAAATAAAGTCTGTGAACAGAGACAAAGAAGGACGCTACATAACAATCAAAGGATCAATCCAAGAAGAAGATATAACAATTATAAATATATATGCACCCAACATAGAAGCACCACAATATGTAAGGCAAATGCTAACAAGTATGGAAGGGAAAATTAACAATAGCACAATAACAAGGGGAGACTTTAATACCCAACTCACACCTATGGATAGATCAACTAAACAGAAAATTAACAAGGAAAAACAAACT